GGAAAGAGAAGAATTCAAGTTAATGAGGTACAAGGAGTTCTCTTGTTTGGTGAAGATAGATGTTGTTGTCAGTCTTCTTTTAAATTCAATTTTTGTAGATAGTTGCTTATTATCTTCAGTGCTCATCCATTGGCCTAACACCAGGATGTCTGGCTAAGGCTCTCCACAAATATGGTTTTCTTGAAAGCTGTTCTGCCTATTCAGAGTAAGGGATGATGCAAAATATGCCTAAAATGTTTAAGTAACTCAGGATTATTCATGGGTCATTCACATGAGTGGTTAATTACAGTTTGTACAAGGCAAGTTCTCTACTGCAACGTGGAGTTTCATAAGTATTGGTAGATCCAAAAACTGCAGATGCACTGCCTGGTCCTGGTTAATGTGGGATATTTTTTATTGTCCTACTTTATATACATTATTCCTTGATAGAAATAAAGCCTTTTGAATGGTTTCACAAATGTGATAATAGTGCAGCAGTCTGAGACTTCCTGTTCATCTCTAATAACACCACACTCACAGTCATTTTCTACTACTGATAGTTCAGGCACTTTGTTATTTGCAGAGTAGTAAATAGTGCTATATCCAGAGGGCACTGAAAACAAATTGCTTTCAAACAATTCTAGGTCAAGTACATTTGACATTTAACTTCTGTTATGTCCTGATGTAATGGAGATGCTCTACCAACTTTAGAAGGGTAATTGTATTTTTAAGATTTATTTATAACCACTTTATTTTTGGAATATATGTTTTATTCATCAGTGGATTTTTCATTAGTCACAAATGGATTGGTATAATAGCACAGGCAGAACATTGGCTGGGTTGTTACTATTTGCATATGGTAGATACTTCTCATTCCTTTAATATTATGACAGAGGGAATGTTCCAAGAAATTTTGGCACATTTTCTATGTTGCCAAATGCTCTAGTTGTATTTTAGTTCATGGACTGAACTTGATTTCAAATATCACTTCCTCAGAGTTATAATGGGAGAGTTTCTTAATGGAACATTTTGTACCTTCCAGAGGATGGTTCAGATTTGCTTTTATATATATATGTTCTTTCTATTCTAATTTGGTCTCCTATAGATTTAACAATGTTATTGTTAATGTACTTTGTGCACATAGGAGTTTTAGTTCTCATACCTAAACATCACCTCAGGAGAGCTGTGACTTTCTTCTGTTCCTCCCTTTCTCTCCCAGCACTGTTTAGCTAGTATGTTTTAATATGCAGGAAGATTTTTTTTTTATAGCACCTCAGAAAAAAAGCCCAGTTGATTTTTTGCTTGTTTGTCTATCTTTTTTCTGTTTGACCTCACATCAAAGGTGCATGCAGACACCTTTGATGTGAGGTCAGAGGTTTCCCCCAAAATTCAGCCGTGTTGTGGAATATGTTGAATGTAGTATAGAGGTCACTCTCCAGCTAAGAGGGAAATGCATTTTGCTTTTTGTACTCACTGATGTAAAGTCTTTGAAATAAGAAGAGAGAAAAGTGTTTATTTTTTAGGGACTTTTTAAAGGTTAAAGGCTAAAATGAGAATAATATTCCATTTAATATTTCAAGCGTCTTTGCATGCTGTGAACTTGTGACTGTGTAGGGGAAAAAATTAGGGAAAACGTGTAATCAATATAACTTTAGTTCCTGAAATGATAATAAAGCCTATTGTGAGCACACTAAGACACTAAATGGAGAAGTAACAGCCAACATGGATTTGTTAAGAACAAATTATGTCTGATCAATCTAATGTTTTTCTCACTGTTGTGCATGAGAGAGATTGTGACTGTAATGAAATTTTTTTATATATAGTGTCTTATGTCTTTTTGTAAACACAGTAGGCAAATCCATTCTGCTTAGCAAGTCTCAGGCTTCACTCTTCCTTACAGATTAGTGTAAGGAAGTAAATGTTTTTGGGTTATGCAGGTAGGTGTGTGAACCTGAGGACCACTAAACACAGCTATAGAAGCATCCTGTGCTCAGTAACTGTGCTGATGTTCTGTGAGCAATTCACCATGTTAAATAGCCTTTAAAACATCTGATTTCATAGCTGAGCAGTTTCACAGTAGGTTGCTGCATAAGGGAGCAGAAACATATGTTCAAGATCTTTTTTAAGATCTTTTTCCATAGTGTGTATGTTACTAGTGTATGAGCCTTTAATGCATGAAGAATTGAATTAAATCCTTTAAAGTGTATAAAACACACTGCTGAGACGGTGGAGATTCAGATTAGATGTTAGGAAAAATGTTTTCCCTGTTGGGGTGGTCAGGCAGTGGAATAGGGTATTGCCCATGGAGGTCACCATCCCTGGAAGAGTTTAAGAGGTGTCTAGATCTGACTGCACTCGGTGCTGGTGAGGCCACACCTTGAATCCTGTGCTCAGTTCTGGGCCCCTCAGCTCAGGAGGGACATTGAGGTGCTGGAGCAGGTCCAGAGAAGAGCAACGAGGCTGGTGAAGGGACTGGAGCACAAGTGCCATGAGGAGAGGGAGCAGGGGGTGTTCAGCCTGGAGAAGAGGAGGCTCAGGGGAGACCTTAGCACCCTCTGCAACTCCCTGACAGGAGGTTGGAGTCAGGTGGGGGTTGGTCTCTTCTCCCAGGCAACCTCCAGGGCACTTTCCAGCACTGCTTTCCAGCCTCTCATTCCCCAGTCTGTAGGTGCAGCCAGGGCTGCCTGTCCCAACTGCAGAATCAGCACTTGCCCTTGTTAAACTTCGTGTGGTTGGTGATTGTCCAGTTATGGATGTGCCCAATGCCATTTGGACAGCTCAGTTCATGGGCAGCAGTGATCACTTGATGTGTCCTTTATAAAGCTGTGGGACAGGATTAGTGCAGGTAATATATCTTTATACTGCATGTTTGCTGATTTCTGGCTGCAGTCCCATTGCGAACTTGTTGATTATATTCCTAGAGTTTTTATTAAGCTGGAAACTAGTAGGAACCAAATTCCTTTGGGAGCAAAGTGCTATTAAACTGACTGGTGAGACTCCATGGGGAAATTCAGTATTTTCTCAAGGGCTGTGGATGAGAGAAAAATGCATGTGTTAGGTGGCTTTTCTAACCCTCTCCTAATGATGCCTGTTAGTGGTGTACATGAGAGCAATGTCTTGTTGCCCCTATAACTGATGATTTTAATACTTTCTCCCTTCCCTGTGGAGTCTTTTTTTTCCCTTCTGTAGGTGTTGGGGTACTGAAAACTCCCATGGTGAGAGATGGTCACTGTTAGATGTGACTTGTGGAGAGAACCTCTGCTGCCCTTATGAGGTTTTTTTCCTCCCACTTTTAGAGGAAGGAATTTATGGACTAAATTAAGTGTTTCACTTAGTAGTGATAGAGAGGCCCTTTAGATCTTGTGTGGGCAATCAGTGGAGAATCATTTTGAAAAGGACAAAAATCCCCTACAAATACCATTGTTCACATAGAACAACACTCAGCCCTCCCTTATGCTCCCTGCAAGCTATTTTCCCTGCTAGCTTGATGAGCGCATGTGATGAAGTAAAATCTTTCTCTTTAAACTGAATAAGTAAGTACTTTGACAAGTCTTCACCCCTTGACTGTGTAAGTTGAATTCAGCAGATGGGGAGAATGGAACTGATGATGAAGTCAAATAAATTCACCCCAGATCATTAAATGAGCATGAAAAAATCTCTATGAATGATTTTCAGTATTGTACACCTACGTATTTACACCTGTCAGTAATGTTTTTAGCTGAAAGAGTTTTCAGTTGTTTAATAAAGCCTATTTTAAGACAAGTCTCGCTTACAGAAAATGTAGATTAAAGAATATTTTCAGAAGCTTTTGTCATAGGATTTTAAAGTGGGTTTTTTCCCTTTCTTTCTTATTTCTGCTGTACCTCCACTGTGACTGACGGCAGTAACTTAATTTAATATAGATCTTTGTATGTGATATGTAGAATACAGACCACAGTTGATATTGTGAAAGTGAGCAGACGTATTTATCTTGGATCATGCTGCTGTTCCAAACATTTTACTTCCGTGAACATGCATTAATATCATGAATTTGTTAGGATGAGAGGAAGCAGCAGACTGTGGAAAAGTCCTATAAATTAACCTAGCTGAATTCTGTTGCCTTCCATAGTGTTGACAATCCAATTGATACTAACCACAGGATCCTGTGGAGATTAGTGTACACAATTAAATGTTGGGAACAGTGTATCCATGGGAACAGCTTCATATGTTGGTATGCAAATTATTTCCTCCTTTCAAGATGAAGTTTCACTCCTGGCTTCACAGAAAGATAAGTAAACAACTGAAGAGTTGTAATATAGATTGGTACAAGGTATTTCTATACAGACAGTGTTTTGTTCTGGATATTTTCATCTCAAGGAAAGAAAGGCTGTGGCTTCGCTGTAGAGGAACATCCAACCATTAGATTTGTAGTCTTATTCCTGCATGTTGACTGAACTGGGACCTCAGTGGAGCTCCTCACCTTATTGTGGGCAACACTTGTTCACTCCTTTCAGTAGGAAGCACTCAGTGATGCAGAGACCCATAAGCAGGAGCAATTTTATGTGGATAGAGATTAATGAGTTCTGTCTTATATTTTATTAAATCACAGTAGCCCCAGATACCAGAAGTAATAGAATAATCAAGTCCAACCATTAACCTGCCACTCTGCTGGAACCCCTAAATCATAACCTCCAGTGCTAAATCCAGACACCTCTTAAACACTTCCAGGGATGGTGACTGCACCACCTCCCTGGGCAATGTTCCAGTGCCTCAATACCCTAACAGGGAAAACATTTCTCCCAACATCCAATCTGACTCTGCCCAGGTATCAACCTGTTGACAAGGTTGATATTTTTGAAACCAAGTTGAAATTAATAACATATTTCATTTTCTGCTCAAATTTTGATCTCTACTTCTCACTTTGTTTCAGGGAAGCAGATATTTAGCAGCAAAACGGAATTTAGGATCAGTGCGCTGAAGTTCCACCCTACAGAGTCGAATATTTTCCTTTGTGGAGGGTTCAGCCCAGAAGTTAAAGCTTGGGATATAAGGACTTCTAAGGTAAGGAAATTCCTTTTTATCTTTCTCTTTTAGAATGTTTCCAGGTTGTGTGTGCTGTGTGTTACGAAGCTGCTAGATGTGCTGGTTATTCTGAAGTATTTTGCATTTCATAGAGTAATAGAACCATCAGGGTTGGAGGAGACAGCTAAGATCATCAAGTCCAACCATTAA